TCACGGTGTGAAGCGCGACATTCGTAGCTCAAGTGGGTAGAGCATTGGCTTGTGTAAAAGGCCTCTCTCCTACGCGGGTTCGAATCCCGCCGAATGCTGCGAGTTTTTTCACAATTGGGTCAACCAAACATATAGTTTTTGTCGCAAGGACTAGAATTAACGCCAGTGTCGTTCAGTCCTGCTTTATTAGTAAGGCTAAGCGCAAGTCAAATTATATAGCTGTAAGCTTACCTAAAAGCTGATTGTGAGATAATATTTTGCTTTTGTATTCGGTCAATGTGAACTTTTTAAAATGAAAGCTCCCTGTGATAGTCATGTGCACAGTAGTTTACTATTTATAAGGAATCCACAAAACTGTTATTATTATAAAAAGGCATTAAGAATAGGTGAGAACGGCATGAGCGGTCGCACAATCAAAAGGATAAGAAACGCTTTCATATGATTTATCACGGGATGTGCGTAAGTGAAAAAACTTTTCACTTTTTTCTCCGGCCTCGTCTTTGATGGAGATTAATGATATAGACACCCCCTTCGCAAGGTGCGATAGCAGTGTCGTTTTGCAGCTAGAAACGTTGTTCATAATAGATTTGGCTTCTTTTCTAGCTTATGCCGCAAATACCGTCCGAAACTTAATCTACGGGCAGGCCAACAGCCGAAAGCCCGCTCTACTGATAAAAGCTTTCATGAAATCTATTTTCGTAAGTTTGGTGATCATAAAACTCGAAAACCGCACTTTACGGTGGTTGACAGGAGGTACTAGTAGCAATAAAGAGTTCAATGACTTTACATAGACAACTTCACAGTCACTTATCCCCACCATCGCCAAAAATAGCAATAATTTTGCGAAAGCAAGGTTCTTTACATGAAGAGGAAGCGACATTTATAGCTGCGCTTCTAAACGACGTGCAAATATTTTGGCAAGTGATCGGTTGCTGAGCCCGAGAACCTATGGCGGGTTTTCCCCTAATGACGATCCGTTAACAAAAAAACAATACTTCGCGCCTCGAATAATGGACAACCGATACATTACTCATATAATCTTGGAAAAATTCGCTCAGCGTCGAGGAATGGATTTTTTCCTACTGTATACTACATGAGCTCGTGGAGTGTTTGAGATAGAGCATATAAAAAGCAGTTTTCTTAAATCTTTCTAGCTGTACTGTTTATTATTATTCATTCATGGTTTTGCACGAGCATGCATTATCAACATTCGTCAATCAAGTTCATTCGGACCACACGAATCTTCGTGCTCCGGAACACCCAGTTTATTCTAAAAAGCCTTTTAGTTTAAATCAGTTAATGTAAGTTAAATAGGCTTTGACATTCTGTATTGTATCAAAGTCACGCGACCTTAATTGAACATTTGTAGCGATTCATAATATATTTTCGCCTAAACCTCCGTTTATTTTATCGGCTCCATCAACTACTGTACATCCTCTTTCAAGTTACTACCTCGGAGATATTTTGGAAGTTTAAACATTTCAGCATTGCCTGCATATTTTGAATTAAAACCTGTGTTTTGGTATTCCAAGGTATTCAAAGGATATACTATGAATCCTCTACAAGGGGGACTCACGCTTTCCCATAAAAAGACTTCCTGTGTATTAGAGAATAATGCACTAGACACGGATCCCGTCGTATACTTTGGAAACAATTACTAAGTTACCCAAATGTCACATCTGGATGTACGAGAGATTTTCATCACACTTGTAAAAGATAAAACGCACACTTTCTGCGAACGAAAAATTTAAATAGGATGCTGCTTGTCCTAAAAAGCGTATGTTTCTATATTATTAGTGCGTTCATTTTAGGCAACATGACTGGTATTTAAATGCATCAAAAAGCCCCCGTTAATATGTATTACCTAAGGGATAGTAAACAAATGAGCAGAAGGATGCTCAATCAGAAACCCACAGACCAGTAGTCATGTTGATTCGTTTTATTGAAGGATGTGGGTCTTGTCATATGCAATAGTCAATTTTCAGTATTAACGAAATCCAGTTGGTGCATTTCAAGGTCGGACCTTCCACTGAAATGACTCCTAGGAGACAAAGTTACGAGTACTTTCCAAGAATATGGTTCAGAGCCACAGTAATATCCTGTGCCTGTTACTAACCTCGCTCTTTATTGTGCTTCTCCGCAAATGTTCCATTTAACAAAGTTTTGGAGTAGCACAAAGACTAATATGGAAGATTCCATTTGTCAGTGTTTATTTATTTATTTTTGTTTATTTTCTGTCATATTTTTAATACCAATAGTTTACATCATCCGACCTGTCAGCTCTGACTGCTACGACAGCTGCATACATTATGTCCCAGAGACTAACCCAATTCGAGTACGCTTCTGCCCCACAGGCATGACAGCTGCAGTCCTCATGAAAATTAAGGTTCCACTTCAGTGTCACGCAGCGACTCTTTATTTGATGGACCTTTGTCACATCAAGTACAAGTCACTGAATGAAAAGCAAAGGGGAATTTCATCTGTCACGGTAGACGACGACTGCATCTGTCATCCCCCTGTCATGAGTTTGAGCTTTGAAGGGTTTTCCGTAGTGTTTCATTTGCGGGGGGGGGGTGGATCCAGCAGCAACTGTGCTGAGCGCAGCAGTCCTGTCCAGAAGAGGGTAACTGCCGTGAATCTAAACGCTACTAAGATAACGGAGTGAAGTAAGGTTCGGCTGTTGAAGATGGATCAGATATGTTGGGAAACGCGTAGGTAGGGCTTGATGCGGGGCCAGTCACTAGACTATGTTTCAGCCCCAGCTATTTTGAAATCATATAACAGTGAAAATAGGAGGCGAACTAAGATGGGTGCGAATAACAGGAGTTCGAGGGAATCTGCAAAAATCTCTCCCACACTAGGATTCCAACCATGCCTTACTAGCGCCCGGCCTCCCAGACGATGATGGTCTCCGGCGGTTGTGGGAGATTAAGGGACTTATGCAATATACCACCCGCGGTTCTGTGGGCGTCATTACGCTACAGAATAAGCCACCCACCGAGAGCTTTATAGAAGAATGTCAGAAAATGAATAAATGTTTTACGTTTTCACGTGGCAAACCGGAAGATTTTATTGGTAGAAGTAGTGTGACAGCAAATTACTAGGCCGTTCACCTGTTCTTCAGCTTACAGTACGGGCACGCTAACTACAGCCAGTGTACATCATCATCGCGAAATCTTAACGCCGGGCTGATTTTAGCTGACAGCTGAAATAAAAACCCACTGATGAACCAGTCAAAACACCGGCTGAATAATAAATCAGTCAACAAGGCGACGTGTGCACCAAAAGGGGTTGCCTGGTTGAAGTGATTTGAGTTGCAGTTGCCGCAGTCAAAGTACTCAATAAGCGTACTGTTTCCTTACTCTGTCGGTTTATAGAGAGGAGGCTGTTGTATGACTCGTAAACCTATGTCTTCACCAAAAATACGGCGGACTGGAAAAGTGAACAATGAGGAATTAATGATCCTAACGAACGTCCCCATGATGGATACAGAAATACAAGGAAAATAACAGTGAAGTAAAGTAAATTGTCTTGCAAATTGTACCCCTGCAAGCCACTAAAGCTGCAGTGAAGGAAACTATCCGTGCATAAAATGCTCCTCCTTCCATACATAAAACCTCGTTAGATATCCTATTTCAGGTAACATAAACCGAAATTTTAAAATGTTTTCGATTGGGAGGCATATGTGAGTAGGGCCGTAATACTACTCATCGTGGAGCCTGATCAGCAGATATTTCACCTGGTTTTTGAATGCGTTTCTATCCGGCCGGCTGCAAAAAATAAACCCTGCAAAAATGACACTGTAAGTAATGTGAACTTTGCCCCAGTGATTTTTGATGCCCTTACAAATTTAATTGTTTTATAGAAAACACACAAAGAATTCCTTTTTTATAGTACTCAATTGGTGGAAAAGTACGTCGTCTTCGAGTTGCATACTCAAAGGAAGGACATCTTTCGATTTTCAAAAGTTCATAGTTATTATATATATTAAGACCGTGAAATATCCATTTATAAAGCATCATGTATGTATATTTATTCATAGCGCTTGTTAAGTACACACTATAATCCAAATTCACTATACTATATGAGCCATTTTAATAACACATAGAAATACATGATTTTCCTTACTGGGAAAACGTATAGCCTGTAGTTTGGTAACCCAGAATTCCAGTGTGATAGCGCTTGAGGTTCAAAATTAGTCGAAAGTTGAAAATGCTTTTGAAAGGGGAAGATGCTATTTCTTAAAGTATAAAATTTGAAGAGAACGTGGTTTGCCACAAAAAGAGGACAATAATACTTTCGTGTATTTTTCTATGAAATATATTGCAATCTATAGAGGGAATCGAAAATCAATATGAAAATGAATACTACTTAAATAGTCACCTGATAAAGAGTTCAACGTTTGTAGGTGATCGGGAAGAACCTCTTTAAAACATGGGCAGCTTAGCGTGAGTGGGATATTTTGAGGAGTATGCCGCACGATAAATAATCTTACCACCCATTTAAGTAATATTTTCTGATCGACAATGTATTCGAGAATTTCGGTTAATATGTCATGAAATAGCACATCGACTGTACACATCAGCTGATACTTGACTTACATTCCATGCAGACCAGCGTCCTAGCTGCCGGGTTTGGCAGCAATCAAAAATCGAATACACACAAAAAATGACATGGCTCGGTTTCTCCTCCACAGGCAAAAAATATCCCAAAGGTTTCGGCCAGCAAATGCTCCCTAAAGCTCGACAAAATCGTGTATGCCAGAAATCAAAAGTCAACAGAGGGTAAAATAAACGTTGTATTTTGATCAACTTGCTGCCTGCCGCCTGAAAGCCCTGGTTAGAAAATGACCTAGATCAATGCTGAAAACGGTCTTCATAGAAAGTAGTCAGAGGAATTAGTGTAGTCAATTCTGCATTATCTCGAGTAAAAGGGACTTGAGAAGGCGGGCCTCGTAGGTGACAGTGTTCTGCCCTGGGTGCATCTTCGTACCCTCCAACGGCTGTTCCGCAAATACCTTCACGTTTCTTCCATAAACTGCAAAAGACAAAGAAACACAGCCAGTGAGCGAACATGCAAACTCGACACTGCAAAGTGATGAAATCCGTACTAGTATCGTTCTGGGTTAGATATTTGATAAATGAAAGGGAGCTGTTGCTTTCCTTATTTTATCAAAAGTTATTCCTAGCGAATTCCAAGTAGCACGTTGGACCAATCTCTCTTTCCTTAATTTAGATTGCCTCTTTAGTGAGGTTCAGAGATTCATTTATCGGGTTTAACATTGATACCCGCCCATCGGCCTGTAATTTGACGACCGACAGGTGTTTGTATCCCCCTTCTTTCTTTTCAACGTTCCGGGCCTTTTTCCTACCTTTCTTAAAAAAGGGATATTCCGGTTTTTCTGCTTCTCAAAATTCTTCAAAAATTGACCATTACTGCTGAGATAGTCAGTTTGAAGTAAGTTGTATGGCCGAAGACCGAAAGTTCATGCGAATATTTAGGCCGACGTCCATTAGCGACAACGGGGAAAACCACGTTATATTCATTAAAATGCCGAAAGGCAGCCAACCGTTACACTATAAAGCACAGTGACAACAGAGACATACGGAAATTGAAAGGCGGCAACTTCCAAAGTGAAGTATCTATCAGAATGCACACGGGGGGGGCTGGGGAGACCAATGATGAGTCAAAGGCCTCACAGCTGTGTCATGCAGCGGCGAAATACCGACAAAACACGTGTCTCGGCTTTTATCTTGTAACTATGCCGCCAGTATCGTGTACTTTGTAATCTGTATGAAAAAGACTGTTGCCGGATGCTTGAAGGTGGCGATCACTTGCAAATTTCCCCTATCGTAATCAACCTACACCCTGGAAACCACATCGATAAAACTTAAGGACTGAGCCTTCAGTAAACAGTCTGATTTACAAGTTCTGATCACTTAGTGGCAACTTCAGCATTACAGTCAGAACGTCACCCCGGCATGCTACGCCGCCGCTTAGTGCATCCGAGAATTTTCTCAGTTGCCCGAAAGACGGATGCCTTCAGTAATGACGACTTGCTACTGCCTTCGCCGTCGGCTTGCGTCATAAGATGGGACCGGATTTCTGTGCTTAGAGCCTCGGTAGTGTTGGTTTGCCGGAGCTTTGCAACATCAAGGCGTCTTGCATGTGGCATTTTTGGCCCAGATGAGAGGTGAACTTTCAGGCGCGTGCGAACGAGAGTCTGGTCAGACCCGTGGGCGTTAC